GGGAAAGGAAAGAAGGGAAAAGAAAAAATATGAGAAAAGAAAAAAAATGGAAACAAAGTTTTTCCAAATAGGGAAGGGTGGAGGGCGTGAAGGGAGGGCAGGGGAAGGGGAAAAAAATAAGAACCAAGATACTCATGTAAAGGTACAAGATCCGAATGATGAATGTAACTGTATTTTATACCTAAAATGTACCAATAAGCGTAATGAAAAAAAAACAAGTTGGTTCTTTGTAATGATTAAAAAGAACTCTTAACTAAATTAACCGAAAGTGAGTAAATACCCAATCTAATAAAATTAGAGGTGAAAAAGCAATGTTATAAAAGTTACTATTGAAATCCAGAATATCATCAGCAACCATTTTGAAAACTTACATTCCAGTAAATGAGAAAATCTAGAAGAAACATAATTTCCTACACATATCGGATGTACAACATGAACCAAGAGGGTATCAAAAACTTAAAATAGATCAACAACAAGCAATGAAACAAAAGTAGTAATAAAAAGTCTCCCAACAAAGAAAAGCTCAGGACTACATTGAATTTCACCAAAATTTTAAAGAAGAACTAACACCAGTGTTTCTGAAACTATGTCATGAAACACAAAGGGAAGGAATGCTTTCAAATTCATTCTAGAGTCAGTTTCTCTCTGATCCCAAAAAGTTATAGACACAACAAAGAAGAAAACTACAGAAAAATATCCTTAAAGAACAGAGATATAAAAACTTTCCGTAGAATATGTACAAGCTGACTTCAGGGCATATAGAAAGATCACAGGCAATGACTGATTGTATGAATGCAAAGAAGGTTCAATACACTTCAATCAAGAGACATAGTGCCCCGCACCAATAAAGTCAAGGATAGAAGTTATGTGACCATCTCTGGCCAGGCCTGGTGGTGCATCCTGTAGTTGCATCACAGGGGAGCCTGAGGCAGGATGATTGTAGCAAGTTCAAGGCGAATCTGGACTACATAGTGAGACTCCGACTCAAAAAAAGTTATATAATCATCCCAATCGATGCAAAAAAAATCTCTGGCAATATTCAACATCCCTCCAACATCCCTTCACAATAAAACCTCTGAAGAAACTGGTTATAGAAGGGTATTACCTCAGAAAAATAGAGGCAATATCCAACAAATGCTCAACCAATATCATGTTACATGACAAAAAAACCTGAAAGCATTTCCTCAAACATCAGGAACAAGACAAGCAGTATCCTCTCTCACCACTTCTATTCAATATATTACCTGCAATTTTAGGAAAAGAAATTAGGCAAGGGCCAGAGATGTAGCTCAGTGGTGTCATGCCTGCCTGGCAAGTGCAAGGCCCTGAGTTCAATCCCTGCTAGCAGAAAAAAAAGAAGAAGAAGAAGAAGAAGAAGAAGAAGAGAGAGAGAGAGAGAGAGAGAGAGAGAGAGAGAGAGAGAGAGAGATTAGGCAAGAGAAAGAAAAATGCATACTCTATAGTTATAGTGCTTGCTTCAGCAGCACACATACTGTAATTATAATAATACACACTAATTTTTAAAATGTCTTTCAACTTATTGCAGAAAATTCAACAAACTGCAGGCACCTTCTGAAAATGGTCTTTAAAAATAGACCATTTCTGGGCCGGGGATTTAGCTCAGTGGTTCCGCCACCTGCCTCACAAGCGCAAGGTCCCAAGTTCGATCCCTGGTACCAAAAAAAAAAAAAAATAGAACACTTCTCATAGAGTATAAAACCCTACTCAGAAAAGCAGGAACAGCCCTACTGCATGTGGTCACAAGATCTTATGTTCTCATGGGACCACAGGAATGATCATATAATCCACCCTAGTCACTGTTTGGCCATTTTCTGTCCAACCCTTCCTGGACTTGGTAGTCAGTGTCACTCACACAGGCCAATGTCACCAACTTGCCAGGAGACAAACAGGTGCGGCCCCCAGGAGTCCAGAGTGAAGAATCCAACCCGATCCCTGTAAGGTGAGGCCCCAGCATGGCATGTGTCCCCAGTACGCCACTACCACACGGGAAGTGGTTCTCACACCTATGCTGAAACCTCCTCCTCGGGCCCACAGGATGTCCCAAGATGGAGATGATGTTGCCAGTCACAGACTTCACTCACCTGTGAAAGAAAGGTCAAGAGGGTCGCTGGGCAGGGACCAGAGGCAGGAGTACGTTCTATGAGACACATAGCACGTGTAGGTCCCACCTTCGGCCAGGCTGTCTGGGGAGATGAGGAACGAGTGGTGGCCCTGGTGTGAGCAGTCCTGGGGGAGGGAAGCTCCTCTGTTCCTGCAAAGAATGAAGTTGTCATAAAAGTGAGGCGCCTGACACAGGAGAGTCACGTTTCCTCCCGAGGCCACCTGGGGACCTGGGTGAGTAGTCAGAGACGGTTTGTCCTTGTAGATGCCTGGAAGAGAACAGAGGCTGCTATTAAAATCTCTATTAGAATAACCCCATTATTCTCCTGGTCTGAACTGAGACAAGGATGAAACTGGGAAGAAATCTGCCGCTACATAATTTACAGGATCACAAAGACAAAACATGCTGGTGTTACTGCCCATGACCCAGGTGGTGGCTGGATGTGCACAGGGAGGGCTATTGTCTGTCCTTGTAGGGTGCATTCTGGGGTCCCCAGCCACCTAAGGACCCCAGAATAGTCAGCAGAGGGAGCCCAGACCCTGACAGATGGGGACAGGGACAGAGGGCAGGGTGTGTGATCCAGAAGATCCGGTCCAGCTAGGTGGACACTAACATGAGGGGACAGTGTCCTGGGACCATCCCTCACCTGTCACCGTCAGTTCCAATGACTCACTGAATCCTACCCAGACTTCTCGCTCCCAGTAGACACAGTGGTACGTCCCTGCGTTCGTGTGTACCACATTCTGGAGGAGGAACTCAACCACATCTTGGGCTCCTTCAGAGCTGATGTCATGCCACATGTCGCTGGGTTCCCCACGAAACAGGTACAACCTTGTCACCCCTGGAGGGACCCTGCAGAAGATGCTCACAGAGCTGCCATTGGGAGTCACAGCTCCTGGCTCTGCCCAGATGGAGGGCTGGGAGGGTGACCCTGGGGAGAAAGAGAACAACAATCCAACTCATGTGGTGTCAGAAACTGCACGCCTCACTCTGAGGGCTCTGGAGGGGCCGCTTACTGGGAAGCAGACAGACCAGAATCAGCTGTGGCCTCTCTCTCCTCAGGGTGAGCTTATCACCTCCACTGTCCCTGCTCCGCTGGGCCAAGCTGACATTGCGTCTCCTTGCACCGTTGTGTGGGCCTCCCTCTGTCTTCTTCTTTCACATGAGCCCCAACCCCTTTCCCACCCTCCTCCTCTCCCTGAAACCTGTTACATGTGTCATTCACCTCTGTCCTCTGCCCACAGCCTGCGGGGGCTCTGCTGTCACTCAGAGGCTCATGAGCACCAATCTGGTCCACGCGGCTCTGTGGGCCCTGGCACTCCTCAAGGCCAGGTCAGCATCATCAGCTTCTCTGCCACAGCTCGGAGTCCTCATGGTGGCTCCAGCCTCCCTTCCCTCAGGACATTGCTCTATCTCAACACCAGGGACAGCTCCCCTGCCACACTCCTCACACCTGCAACTGTCTCCAGCACAGCATGCACCCCTTCTACCCTCTCACTTCTCCTCAGCATCCACCTCCTCCTAACACGGCACATGGGTAAGTGATCCAACATGTCCATGTTGCTGTCCTTCATTTGGAGGGCAAGGGCATCATGTGCTCAAAGCCCTTTCCCAGGAACGCAGAACTCCGGGCCCTCAGCCAGGGCTCAGAACATCTGTATGAAGTAGAAATTAATCTGCCTCTTGGAGGAGCTGCATGTAAAATATAAATGTCATACACACCATGATCTGGGAATGGTTCCTGAGAATGTAGAAATGCAATGACTGGTATCACCAAATATAAATTTTACATGACTCTCCTAAAAGAGAAAACCCTACTTCCAGACTTACACTAAACAACACCCTGTGGTTTCGTCATTTGAGAATGAGGAACTAGGTCTTAACGGGGGGGGGGGGGGGGGGGGATAGTTTCCGAACAGTCAGAGAATCGCCTGAGGCTGCAGTCTGCATTTTACTTCAATCAGTCTCTTGGACAGGTCCTCTTGAGCTGAACTCTCAGAGATGACAGCAAGCATCCCCGGTGAGAGCAAATGGAAAAAGACAGATACACACAAAAACTGATGGTCCACACCCTCAAGGGGAACTTGGGTCCTGTGAACTTGCCCCTAGTCCTTTGTCTGCATTTGGAAAGTCCACATCAGCAGTGCTTCCTGTTGACATTATTAACACCCTTGGTGATCCCACCCCAAAATGATGCCACAGGGAAGAGTGTGGTTGACAGAGCAGGGCAGGCTCCTCCTAGTCAGCTCAAGACCCTCAGGCTCCTCCCACCCTGGCCGGGCCTCACTCAGAGCCCCAGGACTGAAGGGAGGGAAACTCACCACTGTGGGCCCAGAGCCTCTGGTCCAGAGCAGACACTGAAACACAGAGATCAGGTGAGAGGCATCTGCCTGGGACCCAGGGACCCCCAACCCTGGGCTCAGGACACCAGACCTGGGCCCAAGGCCTCAGGGGTCTCATTCTCACCCCCTGGGCAGGAGCACACAGAGGAAGAGCCCTGAGAGGGGCCCAGGGCATGGACCCAGCGTCTGCATTCTTCACGCCTCCCACTGCCCTCCTCCCTCCCCTGCTGTGCTCACCAAGTCCAAGCAGCAGAGCCATCCCAGGGGCCATGGTGCCGCCTCAGCCCAGGTCTGCACACCTGCTCCACTGGTGGTCACACCAGCACATAGGGAACTCACCAGGGGATGGGCAGCCTGGGCCCCAAGTCTATGTAACCGGAAGCCAACATCAGCTGCTAAACAGGAAGGGGCACTGCTCTTGCACAATGCCAGGCTCTGCCCATAACCCTCCTCCCATCTGGACTGGGCCTGAGTTCCTCTGTGGGTTCCAGCTCTGACCCCACAGGGCTTCCAAAGCTAGGGCTGACCCTGCCTCCGGTGCTGGAAGAAAAGATCAAGGGAATGCACGTGACCCCAGCCTGTACCTGGAGCACAGCACCCACACACACCCCAGACCTGCTGTTGGAAATGAAGGTGTGCTCCCATGTGCAACTGAGAGCCTGGGATACATTTGAAGTAACAATTTCCACAAAATGCAACATATTCACAACCCCACCCTGAAGAAAGGCAACCCTAGAGGTAGAGCAGAGAGGCAGGGTGATGTGGTGGTTGAATACGTTAATGAAGTGTGAGGTTTTATTCTTGAGATGTGATTAGAATGTGTCCCATTATTAAGAGAAAATCTCAAGCAGGGCCATGAATCTATTTGTGAAGACGAAACCAATGATTTTGCATCTTTTTTACCTATGATGGTGAGCTCTGAAAAGTTGAGACTTGTCCATTTTCTAGAGTGCAGCAGGGCTGGGTGAAAAATTGAGGTTCTATTTTGACAGTTAAAGGTGAAGCCCTATAATATTATAAGTAGTGTTTGATGTGCAATACTGACCAGAGCTCAGAAGACCAGAATGCTGATAGGAATGCAGACAGCAAAGGCCAGGCTTAGGAGATTTCCATTGGGAACAGGAATGTCATTGACTGTTGGACTAGAAGCCATGTTTGTTGTGCTCTGGCAGAAAATTTATCTGTATTTTGTCCATATCCAGAAACTTTGCAAGAGATTGAGATTAAGGGCATCAGACTAATTAATCTGGCAGAGGAAATTTCAGAACATCCCAACATTCAGGCTCTGGCATGGGTACTGCTGGCTGCTTTTAGCCAGGTCTTGTGAGAACCAGGAGCAAATGACAGAGCTGAATGATTTTAAAAGTTTGCAGTTTCTCCACAAAGGAGAAAATTTGGGGCAAAGTAGAGCCTGGTTACTGAAAAGATTAACATAAAAAAGAAGTCAATAACTTTGTAAAGGAACAAGAAGAATGATGACTTGAGGGTACCTCAGATTCAGCAAGGTTTCACCCGCTGTAGGATTAAGGGTGCAAAAACTGTAAATCTTTCATCTTGGAGACAATCCCAGGTATGCCTGCTCATTCATAGTGACCTAGGGAAAGGTATCTCTGAGTCCAGCTATCCAGGCCGTGAGAGGTCATTGCAGCTATTAGTCCAAGAGAGCCCTGGTACTGCTCAGTCTGGTAGTCAACCTTGATGTCATCCGTGTGGTGCTGGTTTTTCAGGCATGCAAAATACAAATATTATAGGATCACAGACAGTTCCACCCAGATTTCAGGAAAAAAAAGCAGCTGGATCATGGAGAGATCCAGGAAGATGGGAGGGAGGACTCAGGGGAGGACACTCAGGGGCTCAGGGAAGTTGCTGTTCACCCAGCGGGTTTAACAGTGTTGTTATAACTGCAAAGCTGTACCAGTGCTGTACCAGTGCATCCCCGCTAAGGCCCCACACAGCTTCACCGCTTTGGCATCCCCCATCACCAGCAGCCAGGCAGAATTCCTTGGTCCACATCATGGTGGGAGTCTCTGGCACCAACTTCACTTCCTTTCTGTGATTAACCACACACAAAGCATCTTCCATATTGGGTTTCTCAGCCTTCTTATTGCTTTCCCACCATCTCTCTGGACACCTTTTTTTTTTTCATCTGTCGACTCTTTTAAGGGTGCAGCTAGGTTTGTGCCACTTAAAGCATTCCTGATGTGAGTCAGCACTTGTGGTACTTGGGGTTCCTCGCTTCAGGAAAGGAAGCAGGTGTTGGTTAAGAGTTGCGGTTAGAATCAGCCACATTTCACACATCCACATAAATGATAAGTCCCTGTGTGACCAGCTGCTCTTATGACCTGGCTTCACCCCAAATTGAGCACCAACTCCAGACCATGGTTGTGGGATGACATGAATTCAATCCCTCTTTTATTAAGACGTAAGTAAAATGCAAGATGTGATCGACATACTACAGTGAATGTTTAAGCAAAAGAATGATTGCAGTAAGACACATCGCCTTAATTTTACCCAAAATCCTCCTCCTCGCTTTGAAACTAATCCCATGGTTCTAGCCACTTTCTGAAGTAGCTCTGAAAGTCCACGTCTCCAAGTGACTTTACAAGGTGTGATCAAAAATATGGTGAATGCCACTGCAGGGCACCACCCAGCAGAAAGGCTGTGTCCTCACCCACCTCATTCACCATATCTGGCATCCTGTGATGTCTGGCTCATCCCCAAAGTCAAATTGGCCATAAAAGGTTTTAAATCAATTCAGGACATCGAGTAGCCAGTAGAAGTGTTTCTGAAACTTGTTCTTCCATGTTCCCCCAGTGCAAAATACACACATTTAGAATGGGGGTAGATGACAGAGAGATAGATGATGGAAAAACAGACGAGATGGCAGAGACAGACAGTAGAGACAGCTATGACTGATGGATGGGGGGACAGACAGATGGGTATGCTCTTGCCGTGATGGGCTGGCTCTCCGCAGGTCCACACGATTCCCACCTCCTGGAATGGTTCATGTTTGTTTGGTTGGTTTTTTTTTTTTAGTACTGGGGTTTGAACTCAGGTCCTTGCACTTGCGAGGCAGGCAGTGGAACCACTGAGCTAAATCCCTGGCCCTAGTCCATGTTTTTAGCTTTGGATTTCATTAGTCCTGGATTTGAATTCTAGTTTTCCAAGTTTTTTGTTGTTTTTTTTTTGGTACCGGGGATCGAACTCAGGACCTTGCACTTGCAAGGCAGGCGGCAGAACCACTGAGCTAAATCCCCAGCCCCCTAGTCCATGTTTTTAGCTGGGCCTGACACTTGCTCCTAACCGGTGGAATACAAGTAACTCACATGGTCACTGTGACTTGGTTTCCCCAGGTGGCTGTTGGCTGTATGCTCCCGGGCAGCTGCCCCATAGCTGCTGCCTCTACAGGAGCCAGCAACACAGATGCAGGATGCCGCCCAGGTCCTCTCCAGGACACACTCACAGGGAGAGGACGACAGAGGGCAGGAGCACAGGGACATGGATATCACTGGGGCAGGGTGGGAAGCTTCCTGCCGGTCAGGTCACCCCAAACACACCCTTAGCCACTCTGGTCTGGTGTGGTAACAAAGAAAATGAGAACAATTCATAAAAGCTAAACCCTGAAGTGGCCTGTGTGTCCATCAGCAGATGAGTACATAAATAGAATGTGGTATTTACACACTGTGAAGCACTACTCTGCCATAAAGAAGGATAAACTTGAGGCATTTGTAGGGAAATGGATTCACCTTCAGACCATAATGTTAAGTGAAATAAACTGGACACAGACTTAAATATTGCATTGTTTCACTTATACGAGAAACCAGAGTAAAAATAAAAAGCTAAATAAAATATAGACTATAGGAGGATCTTTTGCAAATGGGAAGGGTCCAGGAGTTGAGGGAGGGGCTGGGGGGGAGGGCAAGGAGATGAAAAATCAAATTGACATGTTGCATCCATCCACCACATTCCCATGAGGAATGTGATCATTATGTCCTGCAACATGTACTGATTTTAAAACGAAAAAGGGAAAAAAGAAAATGAGCTGCATTTATAAAGCTCCGGGCAGCCGTAAGGCCTCTCCCTGGGCAGTGACACCCAGGCCCTGGCCCTGCCTGCTGCAGGCCGTCCTGTGTTCAGCACATGGCACGGCATCCCCGCCACCGGCATGCAGGCAGAGGCCCCGCCCTCGCCCTCACCCTGCCACTCCCAGTCTGGAAGACGCCTGGACGCAGCAGGCAGGCGGCTCCGGCTCCCGGCTCGTCTGGAGGCTGCATGGTCTGCTGCCTTGGTGACCTGTCAGCTGGTATCCTAGCTCCCCAAGAGGGGTAGGTACACAGCGTGTGTGCACAACTCCCAGAAACGTGGGGGAAAATACAACCCATGACTCAGGTAGGTTTGGGGTTTTTATTACCGAGGAACACATTTGAGAGCCTGAGGCTAAAATCAGCAGAGGAACCGGAGGGAAGGTGGCGGCCCAGATGATCACGGTCCACCGTCCTTCACAACGCAGTGATCGGGCCAGGGTCTGTGTCAGCCCCCTCAGGCAGAAGTCCAGCACCACAGCCTGCTCTGACACAGAGGCCCTCAGTAGACTAAACTCCAAGAAGCCAGCGGTGCCCCACCTGAGCCGGGCAGAGCCACTGACCACACGTCCCAAGAGGCAGTCATTACAGTGCACACCACAGTGGCAAGCCCAGGCCCAAAGGGACGCAAAGCCCGTGCCCCACAGTCCCCTGAGTCAGGTGCCCACCTCTGGTCCAGTCTGCAGGTACAGCTACCAGAGATGGAGCCAACACAGCCCCTGGAGGACCCTTGCAGTTCATTGCCAACACTGCCCCTAGAGGATGGTGAGGGCACAGCAGCCAGCACACCTGAAGTTCACATGTGCCAACACTGCCCCCTAGAGGTTAGCAAGGGTATGGTACCCAGTGCCTTTTGTCTTGAGACCAACACTGCCCCTAGAGAATAGGGAAGGCATAGCAGCTAGCATCCCTATGTCTTTAAATTCACATGGTGCCAGCACTGCGCCTAGAGGAAGGTGAAGACATAGCAGCCATGTCCCTGGTCTTGAGGTTCACAAGATCCATTCCGCCCCCTAGTGGGTGAAAAATGCACGGTTGTCAGCATCCTTGATCTTGCAGCTCTGTCCTGGAAAACCTGCTCCTGAGGTTATCTGGGGCAGGACTGTCCCCTCACACGGGACTCATGGGACATGTCCAAGCCCACAAGGCGGGCACTTTCAACCCAAAGCCTCTGAGCTACCTCCTCATCCTCAGCCTCAGGGGCTGGTGCTATCTCTTTGAGTCCATCAAAGTACTTTCCAGAAACACCTTCCAGTTCCTCCGCCACAGCCAGGTAGGTGCTGGGCTGGGCCGCCAGCTGGGGGCTCTTGACTAGCAGCCAAAAGATGGGCCCTGCAATGAGCCAACAGAATCTTCAGTCCACATTCACCCGGGAGGATACAGAGCCCAGCTCCACCCTCTAGGAGACCAACCCCTGGGGCCAGAAGGCCCCCACCCCCAGCCTTCACCCTGTGGTTCCCTCCACCAGGCAGGGCCCTCCACATGCAGGGACCAGCACAAAGCCTGCCTCTCCCAGGAAGCCTCCCTGGCTTTCCCCAGGAAAATGGAAGCCCTTACTCCTCTGGTCAGGCTAAGTCCCCATCTACCCCATCTTTCCTTAAAATAAATTTTTACTTACTGAATCCATCTGGTGGCAGTCACAGCTTATTATTCTTGATACCTAGCATACACCCACTAAATGTTTCTCAGAATCATAAATATTAGCTATAAAGTTCTAGTTATTCAGCCTAACTCTGGGCCAGGTATTGTGCAGGCCTTTTATGGGAGGTCTTATCTAATCCTCCCCATGACTGAGTTGGGTCCCATTATGGCCCTCACTGTACAGATGAGGAAACTGAAGCATAAAGTGGGGAAGACATTTCCCTCAGGTGGCTCACCTAGTTTGGGGTGAATCCAGAGTCAGCCCAAGTACAGCCTGACTCCAGGAGCTGGCTCACAACTCCCCCACCCCTCACTGGCCCATGGGGCTCTGGCCTGTTTCCTGGGGATGTCCTCAGGCTGGCAGGCCAAATCAACAGAACAGTGACTCATCTTCCAACACACAAAGACACAGAGGAGGGGCCAGAAAGAAGTAAAGCTAGAGACAAACTCAGAGGGAGAATCCCAGGCCCCAAGTAAGCAGGCAGGGGCAGAAGGTTCTGTGAAGGGGCTCATGCCAGGAGGGACTCACCAAGTGTGAAGCTGGAGAAGGTGGAGTTGTGCATGCCAGTGTGTCTGCCCAGCTCTGTCCTGGCCACACCAGGATGCAAAGCATTGACGGTCACACCCGTGCCTGGAAAAAAACAACAACAATGGAGGAGGTGGCAGGCAGATACCAGGTGCACAACTTACCCAGAAGGCTGCCCACACCAAGCTGTGGGGCTTCTCCATCCTACACTGCTTCCCATATTTGAATCAACATCAATCTCTGTGTCCCAGAGCAGAGCTTCCTTGGAGCCTGATAAACCCATAGCCTGGCTCTCCACCATCCCAGAGGCTGAAGCAGGGGATCGGGGTGGGGTTCGAGATGCAGCAATTGTGACCAGCCCTCAGATGAGGCCACCCTACTGACCCACAGACCACCTGTGAGACACAGTGGCCAGAGCAGCTCTCTCTGCCTCAGCACTGACATCTGATGAGGGCATTCAGTGCACGGTAAGATGCTGAGCAGTGTCCATGGGTTCACCCATTGGCACTGGATACCAGAAGCAACTCTGCCTCCACCTAAGCTGTGACAATCACACTTACAGGCATTGACACTTGCCTGCTAGGGGCCAAAATCACTCCCAGTTGAGAACTACTAGCTAAGACCAGAGGCTTACATGCCCATCCAAGAAAAGCAGAGAAGGCTGCCTGGTGAAGAACTGAAGAGCATCATTAGAGCAGTAATTGATCAGTGATGTCTGCCTTAAGCATCAGAAGGGAGAGTGGTGGTACGAGTGCCATCTTTCAGTCTACTCTGCCCAGAGGCAATATTCTTGCCTGCCATCAGCCCAGGGACACGGAAGAGCCATTCCTGGCTCAGAGGGGAGGGAAAAGGGAGACCAGTGAGGCTTGCCCCTTACGCACCCTGCAGCCGCCGGCTCAGCTCCTTGGTGAAGAGGACGATGGCCAGCTTGCTCTGACAGTAGGCAGCCTTGGTGTTGTACTTCCTCTTCTGCCAGTTCAAGTCATCAAAGTCAATGTGCCCAGCAATGTGGGCCAGGGATGAGAGGTTGATGATCCTCGAAGGGGCTGAGGCTTTCAGCTTGTCCAGCAGCAAGTTTGTCAAAAGAAAATGACCTGGACGAAGGGCAGCAGCAAGAACCTTTATTTACATTTGTCTTCAAAGTGGCTGTTCTACTTTATCTTCCATTCCCATGGGTAACATGAGCCTCCTGTTCCTCTACACTCTTGCCAGTATTTATTATTTTTTTATCTTCCTAGCCATTCCAGTGAGGTGAAATGGCCTCTCATTATTTAATTTGGTTGGCTTTTTTGTATCAGGAATCGAACTCAGGACCTTACACTTGCCAGACAGGCATGGCGCCACTGAGATAAAACCCCAGCCCTGGTTGATTTAAATTAATTAAATTTTAAATTGAGAAATAGGGCCAGGGATGTGGCTCAGGGGTGTCACACCTGCCTGGCAAGTACAAGGTCCTGGGTTCAATCCCTAGTACCACAAAAAAGAAAATTAAACTGAGAAGTAAAAATTGTGTATGTCTATAGCATACAACCTGATATTCTGATATATGTATACACTATGGAATGGCTAAATCAAGTTAATTAACGTATGCACATACTAAATGAGGCATGATAGTGCATATCTATAATCTACACTCACAAGGCTAAGGCAGAAGGATTGCAAGTTCAAGGTTAGCCTGATCTACACAGTACCCAGGAATGGGACTGTGGGATCAAAATAACTTTTACTGGGCATTTACTACATGCTTAGGACTGTGAGAATACTACACTCCCAACAATACACAATTCTCAATTACAGGCAATTCTGCTCTCCAGGGGGCATTTGGCAATGTCTGGTGACATTATGAGTTAACTGAAAGAATAAGGGGTGAGAACACTTCAAATCTACTGGTTGCAATTCCAGCACTTGGGAGGCTGAGGCAGGAAGACTTCTTCGAGTTTGAGGCCAACTTGGGCTACATAATAAGTTCAAGGCCAGCCTGAACTACACAGTGAGACCCTGTCTCAAAAAAAAAAATCTACTGGTATCTGGTTAGACAATAAGAATTCACTACTGGTATCAGATTGGGTAGAGGCCATGGGCACTGCTAAATACTCCATGAGGCCCGAGACAGGCAAAAGACCCCACCAAGACTGTCAAGTCATGCAGTAACCCGGTGAGGCCATTTGGGGATGAGTCATTCCTCTGTCTCCCAAAATCCTTTCTTCATATCTTTTTCAGCAACAGAATTTTTAGCCATGCACAAGATGCCCAGTGAATGAATAACTACATCTCCCAGGCTCCCTTGCAGTTATGGCTGGTGTCTACAAAAAGGGTACCAAGCCTGGTGTGGTAGAACAAGCCTATAATCCCAGCACTCAGGAGGCTGAGGCAAGAGGGTCACAAGTCAGATGCCAGGCTGGGCAACTTGGTGATATCCTGTCTCAAATGCTTGGGTTGGGGGGGAAGTTAGAGATGTGGCTCACTGGCAGAGCATTTGCCTAGATGGCATGAAGCCATGGGCTCCATCCTCAGCAGTGTAAAAGTAAATCAATAAATAAAGGTTCTCCGTTTTGGAACACAGACCCACACACAGAAGAGGAGGCAGAGATGAAGGCAGAGATCCAGGTGATGTGACTACAAGCCAGGGAAAATCAAAGCTTTCCAGAAATCCACAGAAGCTAGGGGAGAGGCTTGGAATAGCCCCAGAAGGAACTAGCCCTGCTGGCATCTTGAGAGTAGATTTCTGGCCTCCAGAACTAAGAGCATACAGTTCTGCTGTCCACACCTCCCAGCCCATGACATCTTGTTGTGGCAGCTCTGCAAAATTCATCCACGCTACCACTTTCAGTCATGGCTGTTCAGATCTATATGTCCCCCAAAGGCTCATGGGTTCCAAGGTGGGGCTTTCAGAATGTGACCGCATCACAGGGCTCTTAACTTCATCGGTAGATTAATCCACTGACAGATTCGTACTCTGCAGCATTACGGGAAGGGTGGACACAGGAGAAGGACCCAGTTAAGGGCACGGGTCATGCGGGCACCAACTTGGGGCCTGTATCTTGCCCCTGGCTGCTTTCTCTCTGGCTCGCTCCTTCACTCTTCCTGGTTGCCATGAAGTGAGCAGCTTCCTCCTCCATGCCCTTCCACCATGATGTTTCCACCTCACTGCAGGCCTGAAGCAATGGAGCAAGTACCCTTCCCAAGGGACCTGCGTCCTCGGTGGAAGACAGATGCAGTCAAGGAACACAACAACGAATGAGGCTGGGAAGGGGTGGAAAGGACCAGTCAGCCAGCTTTGCATGAGGCAGCCAGGAAGGCTTCACTGAGAGAATGTGGCACGTGGGCTGCAATCTCGTGACACCAAGGGCAGACATCGGGGACGCTGCAAGGACATCGCATGCAGAAGCAAAGGCAAATGCCAGGCCCCAGGTCCTGGGGAGGAAGGGGACAGATGGATGGAGATGGGGGACATAAAGACTGAGATGGGGAACAGAAGGATGGAGACTGGGGACAGATGGACAGAGACCAGGGACAGACAGATGGAGACCAGGGATGGAAGCTGGGTGGCAGCATCGCAGTCTCTGGACAAGGGGCTGATGCAGGGCATGAGCAAGTGACCAAGCATCCAAGCAATGAACAGCAGGCGCCTGGGCTGCCAGTGACTGGCCCAAGCATGGAGCAGAACCCTCAGGGCAGGGACCCCCAGAACCCCCCCTCAGCGCAGCCCGTGCCGGCCTCACCCAGGTGGTTGATGCCCAGCTGCATCTCAAAGCCGTCCTCGGTGGCCCATTGTGGGCAGCGCATCACGGCCGCATTGTTGATGAGAACATCCACTCGCTCTTCCTCTGCAACACAGAGGATGGGGCTGAGCAAGGACTGGAGCTCCGCCGGGCAGCAGACACCACACCTACACACCTCCCTGTCCCCTGGGGCCTGCAAGGTGCCCTCTCAGAAACAGGATCTTGCCAGGCCTGGGGCTGCACACCTGCAATCCCAGCTCTCAGGGAGGCTGAGGCCAGAGGATCACAGGTTGAAGCCCAGCCTGGGCAGCTTAGTGACTTGGCAAGATCTTGTCTCAAATTTTTCTTAAAAAGCACCTCAGTGCTTGGGCCAGGGATTTAGCTCAGTGGTACCGCACCTGCCTCGCAAGCATAAGGTCCTGAGTTTAATCCCCAGTACCGGAAAGAAAAAAAAGGCAGATCAGGGCTGAGGCCCTGGGTTCCATCCCAAGTACCCTAAAAGAAAAAATCAACAAAAAGCAGGGTCTTTGTCGTGTAATGCCTGAGGATGGGGCCCTTAAGGCAAGCCCTGACTCAGACCCAGCAAGACCGGTGTCCTCCTGTGAAGGGACACAGATGCAGGCTGAGACAGGCAGGGAGACCTCACGAGGACGAGACAGAGGCTGAAAAGCCAGCGAAGAATTCAGCCCAGGGCCCCAGGCCCAGGGCAGCCTCCAGGTTGTGACGATGCAGTTCCGGTGTCCTAAGCCACCTGGCAGGTGGCCCTGGGTCATGGCAGCCCTGGGGCAGACACACACACTCTGACCCTAACTCCTCCTGAGGCCAAGTGGGGTCGCTCCTAGGAGCTGAGGTGTTTGCAGGCCACAGGCTGACTCAGGCCTGGTTTGACACCTCACATGCGCACGGCTAGGGACCCTAGGAGCAGACCCCAGGGCTCCTCCTCTGTGGATGGACAAGTGACAGCGCCCCCTGCCTGCAGCACAGACACAGGCCCAGGGTGGCTGAGACCGCACAATCCACAGCCTCCCGCCTGCCCGCCCCACGCAGGCACCAAGGCCTGGCTCGGGGCTGGCTCCTCCTCCAGTCCCGGCGTTCCCAGGGCACAGACACCAGCTTCTCTGGTCTCGGTCTCGTCACAGCCCCTTCCTCTGGGTGTCTCCGAGTCCCAGCCTCCCTTCAGGGAGGACACAGGATTACGGCTCCCCGCCGATCCTGCCTCACCTTGGCTCTGCACAGACCCTGAGCCCTAGGAGCCCCCAAGCCTGGGGACGGGGGACTGGGCAGACTACTGAACCCGTAACACCCTCCAGGAGGCGGGGTGGAGACAGGAGTCAGTGCCTGCACAGCACCCACCAGGGCACGGGCACCTGGAGGAGGCCCAGCCAGGGCCAGGACAGGAGCTCCGGCCAGGCAGGCTCCACCCGCCGGGTGGGTGGCCCTGGCCATCACATAGCTTCTCGGTGACTCAGTTTCCCCTGTGTAAAAGGACAATAGTGCCTGCCCTGCAGAAACATATAATCATCATTTATTCACCAGGTGTATCCTCAGCCCCAGTTCCTGGGCACTGGAAATACAGGGAGGACGAGACAGTGGGAGCCACCGTGGGGAGGGACACTCCGGCGGGGCCAAGGACAGGCAGAGGATTCTCAGGTGCCAAAGCTGCCATGGAAGCTGTGACCAAGAGCACTAGGGGTGCTGGGAGGCCAGAAGGAAGAGGCAGGGCAGCCATGTGAGCCCCAGCGAAGGAAACCAGGCAGGGATCCAGGTCGGGCGGAGGCCCTGAGGCTCCTCTCACCAGGCGGGCTCCCTGACTCTGCTGTTCCACGTGGGAAAGCCTTGTTTTCCAATGCTGAGGATGGAGCCCAGGGCCTCATACATGCCGGGCCAGTGCTCTACCACTGAGCTGCACCCCCACCCCCTCTTTTGTTAAATGGGGTAAAATACATGTAACATAAAATATTCCACCTGGCATAGTGGCACACGCCTGTCATCTCAGCACTCGAGAGGCTGAGGCAGGAGGATCGTCACAAGTTCAAGGCCATCCTGGGCTACAGAGTGAGTTCAAAGCCAGCCTGGATTACACAGCGAGATACTGTCTCAAAAAACACTAATGCATTTCCAGAAGAGCACACGGTGGCTCAGTGAGGAGACATCACCTGCCCAGGGTGTCGGCCTCGGGTCCTTGCCATCCCCACAGCCCCAGGGCATCTCTGGGGCTCCTGTATCCACAGCTAGAGATGGGGTGTGGGACTTCTGGGGCAATCAGCCGGGACCCTGAGCGCTAAGGGCACACTCCTCCGGGACACAGAAGGCGCTTCACTGTCCATCTCCGCCACCCGCTAGGCCTAGAGGCCCTGCCCCTTGCCGCTCTGCCACCCAGGACCAAAGCGCCTCACCCACTCCGCCATGGAACAGCCCACGTGGCCCCATGGGCAAAGGGTGGGTGCTGGGCGGTGGAAGGAAGGGAAGGAAGGGTAAAACCTGTGCCTCCCTCCCTCCTGCACACTGAGCTCCCCAATCACAGCCCAAACTCATCCCCATGACAACCAGGACTCTATGGGGGTTCAGAAAATGTTCTTGTTTTTTCTGTTTTGTGTTTTGTTTTTGAGACAGGGTCTCACCATGTAGTTCAAGCTGGCCTTGAACTCACTATGTAGGCCAGGGTGGCTCTGAACTCATGGGTATCCGCCTGCCTCAGCCTCCCTAGTGCTCAGATTGCAGGCGTGCACCACTACCCCCCACCAGAAAATGTTCTGGATAAGGGCCAGGATTTAGCTCAGTGGCACCACGCCTGCCTCGAAAGCACAAGGTCATGAGTTCCATCCCCAGTACCAAAAAGGAAAATGTTCTGGATAAATGTGACTCCATGGCTGCCTCTTCTCTCATTCTTTAACCCAGGGCTGTTTTATGAGCGGGGCACGTCAGCTCAGGACAAGGAAGTTTGCCAAACCCATCCAGGACCAGTCCAGAAAGCAGACCGGACAGAGTGGGTCAAGAGTGACATTTCCCCTCCCTACACTGGTGGGAGGTAAGCTGGTCCAGCCTGGCGGGAATCGGTGTGGAGATTCTTCAGAAATTCCATGTGACCCAGCAGTCCCCGTCAGCTGTCTCCCAAAGAGGTAGGGACAGCATTTCACAGCAATCCGTGCACAGCCATGTTTACAGAACCACAGCTCACAACAGCCCAGATGCCCATGGACAGAAAGACAAAAAAAAGGGGATCTACATGCAGTGCAGCACTACTCTGCCATAAAGGATGAAATCATCTCATCTGCAGGAGATTGGATGGAGCTGCAGCCATCATGTTAAGCAAACTTAGCGGACTCAGAAAGCTAAATATTGCATGTTTTCTCCCACATGAGAAACCTAAACAAATAAATAAAACAAAGGCGAGATGACAGGAAACCAGAAGGTAGAGCTTTGGAGAAGGGAGAAGGGTTGGGGGGCGTAGGAGGGAAGGGAGAGAGGGGTGGCGGCATTGAAATGATTAAGACACGGTAAATGCACATAGCCAATTCCCGAGACAAATCAGTCTGAATCACTAACACGTACTAACTTAAAAAAAAGAATGACACCCCCATGGCCTTATATCTGGAGGAAAATCAGCAACCTCAATCGAGAGATAACAGGCTCGCATCACTGCAGCACTCACCTGGACTCACTAAAAGTGTCCTCTCCCAGGAAAAGGACTACAGTTCACAACAGCCTGTGCATTCCTTTTGTTACCAGCCCCTCCTGCTCGGCACTGCTGGGGATTGAGCCCTGGCCTTGACCACCCTAATCGATCCTCTACCGCTGAGCTGGGTCCCCAGCCTTTAAACTTCACTTTGAGACAGGATCTGATAAATTACCTAGGCACTTGAGATCCCCCTCCTGTCTCCGCCTCCCAAGTACCTGGGATTATGGTGTGCACCACTGTGTAGGACTCATGTACTGTGTTCTTTTTTTTTTTCTTTGGTACCAGGGCTCGAACTCGGGTCCTTGTACTTGCGCAGCAGGCAGCAAAACCACTGAGCTAAATCCCCGGCCCATGTACTGTATTCTTTAAAATCACTAAGACATTGATCCCCAGTACCAAAAATAAATAAATAAATAAAAATAAAAATAAATAAAATTGGCCAGGGACTTTGCTCAGTGGTTCCACCACCTGCCTTGCAGGAGCAAGGTCCCGAGTTTGATCCCTTGGCGAAGCCCAACCAACCTCCAATGCTGCTTGACAAAGTTCCAGCTGGGGGAAAAGGAGGGTGGAACACATCGTACCCTCATGTTTTATTTTTTCTTGCCCTAATGTTTACAATTGTTACTCTGGTCACAGGAATCATTGTATTTGTGACTAACAACATATTCTCCATGAGGCAAATTGGCAATGTTGTATTGAAATCTGATCTGGCTCAAAAGTCCCAAATTCCTGTTTCTCTCAGTTCTATTGTCACACCCACTTCTAAAGAAACCCCTCCTAAAACTCCCTCTGTTTTCCTGACACTGTAACTCCTTTCTTCTATTGATGACTTTCTTTTTACTAAAGGGGTCTTATAAAGAGATTGAAAGGACAGATTTTAGATGTAAGACACAGTAGAAAATGGGAAATAGAAAGAAAGTTAAGACAGATAAATACACTAAGGAGGCAAGTTACTCAGCTTTTCTCAAAGTACTGTAAACATTTCCTGCTCATGGACCATGAACCCAAATAACATTTAAGCAAGATGAATAGAGGTATAGAAAAAATAGAGAGCTAATAGCAAACTATATTAACCATTGTACAGTTTCTCAAGGGCCAGCTGACGACCACAAGTTTGACATTTAATTAACTAAATCTTGTTTGTATCCCTGCTGATATAGAGATTTTGATTAAGTTACTTTCTGTTCTGCTTAGGTGTGGGTAAATAAGGGGACAATTGTAATTTTTAAACGTATTCATGATGTTCAATGAAATGAATCAGCTTAGGAAAAATATACTTTGTTTAGTAAAAAATAACCTTTATTTCTATAGAAATTGCTAAGGCAACCTAAAATGTAAACATGTTCTGCCCAATGCCTCCTAGCCATTGCTTAAAGATATAAAAATAAATCAGACCCTGAGACTTCTCAGAGGGAACCTGCACATTGCTTGCGAAGGTTCTTTTCTCACTCGCCGGCCTGAGACCTCTCCCCTTCCTACCCTGCATCGACTGCAGCTGGTCTGTGGCAGGTGGCGCCCAACGTGGGGCTCGAACCCACGACCCTGAGATTAAGAGTCTCATGCTCTACCGACTGAGCTAGCCGGGCTGAGACCTCTCCCCTTCCTACCCTGCATCGACTGCAGCTGGTCTGCGGCAATCCCTGGTACCAAAAAAATAAATAAAATCACTAAGACAGTACATTTCAAATGTCCTCACAACAAAAAATGGAAAGGTTATGTAAGGCAACACGTATGTATCGATTGGGTCAATTTAGCCATTTCACAACATACACGTATTTCAAAACTTCATGTTGTACATCACTAATACAATTTTCTTCTGTCAATTTAAAAATAAACATGTTTTAAAATTATGTTCTCGAGTCCATTTAAAGATGTGTAAAAACAGAAAAGTACAGAGTATAGTCCAGTTCTGTATAAAAATACATAAATAGATGCACACAAAACACACACACAAAATAAATAAATAAATAATAAATACATAAATAGATGCACAAACATGTTAGGAAGGAGCCCAGCACAGTGCAGCAGGCCTGTAATCCCAGCACTCTGGGAGGCCAAGGCAGAAGGACCTCAAGTTCAAGCCCACCCTGGGCAACTCAGTGAGACCCTGCTTCAAAATAAGAAATGAAAACGGGGCTGGGAATAAAGCCCAGTGTGAAGGCCCTGGGTTTTGTCCCCACTGCTATAAAAAAAATAAATTGAATTTTTAAAACCAGGCAGCAGGTGTCCCTCTGGCAAGAACTTGGAGAACCTGCTGTCTCGGCTGCCCGCAGACCTCGCCCTGCCCTACCTTTGACGATCCTGGCAGCAAACTCCCGCACGGACCTGAGGGAAGCCAGGTCCAGCCGGCGCGCGTGCACATGGAGGTTGAGGGTCTCCCCGCGGATGTCCTTGGCCGCCGCCTCACACTTCTCCAGGTCTCGGCAGGCCAGGATGATGTGGCCTCCTGCAAAACCAAAACAAGAGAGCGCAAGTGGAGCCACTGGGCAAAGGGAAACCTCCATCCACACAAAGCTCCACCCGCTGTCTCGGCTGCACAAAGGGCCGGCCAGACGCTGTCAGTCCGGACCGCGATCCTCACCAGGCGCCACGGCCCTGGACACTGCAACCCAGGACACAGCAGCCACGCAGGCGGGAGTCCGCGTGGGCCTGGCGGGCGGCGGGCAGGACAGAGGGACCCGGCGCCCCCTGGGGGGATGAAAATGTTCTAAGATTGACTGTGTGACGCCTGCCACGGAAAAGCACAGGCACAGAAGCAGCCGAGTGGCTGTGGATCAGGAGCTCCTTAGCTCACCGTGGGGGAGAAACCGAAAACGTCGAAGTTGAAAACACACTGAGTACACCTTCCAAGCATCCTAGCTGGGCCTCCTCCACCTCAAACATGCTCAGAGGCCGGGCTTGGTGGCGAACTCCTGTAATCCCACCACCCAGGAGGCTGAGGCAGGAGGATCACCATGAGTTCAAGGCCAGCGTGGGCTACACAGTAAGTTCAAGGCCAGCCTGAACTATATAGTGAGACCCTGCCTCAAAAAAGAAAAAAAAATATCTAATTAAACCAGGAGTGGTGGCCCATCCCTGCAATCCCAGCACTGAGGAGGCTGAGGCAGGAGGCTCACCATGAGTTCGGGGTCAGCTTAAGCTACTTAGTGGGTTCAAGGCCAGCCAGAACTGCTCCTCCCTTCACTTCCTGCTCCTGGCTGCCATGGGTTGAGCACCTTTCCCTCCTCCATGCCCTGCTCCCATCCTGTTTCTGCCTTGGAGCTGCCAACCATGGACTGAAAAGCAGAGCCAAAATAACCTCTGCTCCTTTAAGTTACAGTGCCTGGTACTGTGTCCCTGCACTGAGAAGGTGACCAAGACGGGGTCCAGCATGGTGGCGCTGAGGACATTCCCACTGCTCCACCACCATCACGCATCTACCACCACTGCTCCATCACCCTACGCACCTCCAGAACATTTTCATCTTCCCCAACAGAAACCCCACACCCCTTAACACAGGCCCCCTGCTCCCCTCCCAGCCCCAGCACCCACCACTCCACTTCCTGTCTGTCTGCACCCGAACTCCAGGGGCCACAACTCAGTGGAATTGCCCTGGTGTCCAGCTGTCTCACTGAGCCCCACACCCTTGGGTCCATCCTGGGTCAGAATGCCCCTCCTTTACAGAGCTGAGTAATTGCCCACTCTGTGGCAGGTGGCATCTTGCTGGTCCCTTCATCTGGGGACAGATGCGTGCTCTGTTCCCACCTTTGGGTCACTGTGATTGATCACCGCTGCTGCCAACACAGTGCACAAGTAACTCTTCCCAACACAAGGCAGGGGATTTTACCTCTTCTGGCCAGTTCCAAGGCAGTCTGCTTCCCAATGCCCGTGTTGGCTCCCGTCACGATGACAGTCTTCCCGGGTATGGTGGCCTTGCTGGGACAAGTGCCACCAGTGACATGGTCCCTGGTGGTGAGAAAGAGCTCTGTCAGTTCTGTCCACTCTGCCTGTGTGCCCCCCACCCTGTGTGATCTGGGGCAAACGACGCCACGGGGCTCCCAGGCCCCAACCAGAAGATGGAGGAGTCAGGTCACACGGAGGGGACTGGGAAGCCCTGCCACAGCCTCTGCAGAGGGCTCAGCCTGGGGCCTGCCATGCGTGAGGCTCCCATGAGGGGACAATCTTTACTTTATAAACACCCGTTGCAAGGTCTCGAGTTCAATCCCCAGTACCAAAATAAATAATAAATAAACACCCACTGCATACGAGTGACTATTCCTACAGCTGCTGTAACTGAGGGCCACAAACAGAATGGTAAAACCACACAAATTCATGCTGGGTGTGGTGGTGCGCACCTGCACTCTGGAGGCTGAGGCAGGAGGATCACCATGAATTTGAGGCCACCCTGGGCTACACAGTGAGTGCTGGGGTGACAAGCGCCCAGCTTGAGAGTCATTTTAAATTTAAATTAATTATGTTTATGTGGTCAGGGCTATGCTAGTGGACAGCATAGGATGGCTCACTCCTTTCACCACAGGAAGTTCTACTGCATGGAGCTGCTGTAGTTCCAGATAGCTTGTTTGCTGTTGGTTTTGTTTTAAAGTGAGGTGTCCAGTGAGTTCAAGGCCAGCCTGAATTGCATAGTGAGACCCTGACTCAAAAGCCAAAAAGAAATAAAAAATAAAAAAAATAAAGTGACGTGTCCAGGGTTCAGTAAAAGTTTTCAGTAAAGGATCACATAGTAAATAAACAAATAGACACAGCTGTGTGCCAATAAAACTTTATTTAGTACAACAGGTGGAGGGTCAGGCTTACCCCAGGAGCCACAGTTTGCTTAGAAGAAGACGCTGCACAAACTGAGTGACACTGGGCAAGGACAGCTCCCAAGGCTCAGGGAGGACCCAGGGAGCAGCCACAAGGTGGCCCTGCACATGGCTGAGCTCGGGACATCACAGTCTCTACCTAAGGGCTCTGCCTGAAGCTGAAGGGTGGGCCACAGTGCTGGGACCCAGCGAGAGCTGAGAGCCAAGAGCCGAGAGCCACTGTCAGGGCTGCTGTCAGGGCTGCTGGTCTATGCCTTAGGCCAATCAACCACAGCTCATTATTATACAACTGTCTTACAGCAGTTCCACACATTCACTCCTTGTAGTTTTATTTTTTATATACTAACAAGGTCTCGCTGGGTAGTTCAGACTGGCTTTGAACTCACAGCAATCCTCCTGCCTCAGCCTCCTCGGTCCTGGGATTACAGGCGGGTGCCACCTCTCCCAGTTTGTATTGGATATATTTTTAATTGACAAAAACTATACATTTATCTCTACAACATATTTTGAAATATATAAACACTGTGGAAAGGCTAAAATGAGCCAATCTATACATTATATTACATAGTAGTTATTTTTGTGCTGAGTACACTTAAAGCTTCTCTCAGCCCGGTATGGTGGTGCACACCTGTCATCCCAGCACTCTGGGAGGCTGAGGCAGGAGGATCACAACTTCAACCCCAACCTAGGCAACTCAGCAACTTAGCAAGACTCTGACTCAAAGTGAAAAATAAAAAGGGCTGGGGATGTAGCACTGTGTGAAGGCTCTGGGTTCAATTCCAGTACTGTGAGAGTATTCTCAGTGATTTTTAAGAATATATTACTAAGGGCCAGGGATTTAGCTCAGTGGTGCTACACCTGTCTTGCAAGAACAAGGTCCTGAGTTCAATCCCCAGTACTGGAAAGAAAAAAAAGAATATATCATTAACTACACTTAGTGTGTTGTACAATACATTCAGGTATTTATTTTGTAGAAATACATTTATATAGATCAAAACGCTAGGTCTCAAATCTTCCTTCCAGTTAACCGACCTTCCTCTCTACAGCCAATTTACACTGTCAGGTTTCAAATAGTTTTTTCTCACCACCTTTACTTTTATATTTTCTGAGTTTTGTATTATGAAAATACAGAGCATATAAAACTCACCACCATAACCACTTTTGTTTTGTTTTGATTTTTGAGACAGTGCCTCACTATGCAGCGGAGGCTGGGTGCAAACTCATGGCTCTCCTGCCTCAGCCACCCACCTGGCTAGGATTACAGGCACGTGCCACCACACCGGGCTACCACGACCAATTTCAGTAGACAGCGAGATATTATTAAATACATGCGTGGTACGATACAAGCAGCAGCACAACCCACCTCCAGAACTCCTTCATCTTCTATAGCTGAGGCCATCCCCAGGAAGCAGCTCCCGACTCCATCCCAACTCCCCACCCTCCCAGCCCTGGTTTCTGCCTCTGTGAATCCAGGACCTCAGTCATAACTTTTTATCATGTTAAGGACATCGCGTGAGCCTCATCCCCAGGGGCCCACACCTGGACACCTTCATAGTGAGCGTCCTCCACGCACACCCCCTCTGCGCCCTCCCTTCCCCTCACTGTAATGTCTTGAGAGTTGCCACGAAAGCACAGTCAGATCCTCCTGCTGAAGCTCGGCCAGGCATGGCACACTGAGCTCACCTCTGTTCCCGAGGGTGCTGCACACACATCGGGTGGGGCTGGGCAACAGGGTGGCAGAGGAGCACATGAAGAGTGGTCATCTTCACAGGACCCAAAGAAACGAATACTCCTAGGAACTGCTGTTCTTTGCCTTTGATCACAGGGAAGAGATCACTTCCACATGGGAAGTGATAAAAGGATTTTTTTTCAATAATAATGATTTGAGCTTGGAGTGTAGCTCAGTGGTAGAGCATTTGCCTAGCACAAGCAAGGCCCTAGGTTCAATCCTCAGCACTGCCGAAAACATAAAGAATGGGCCTCTGTGGTGCTGCCTCGAAATCACAAGGTCCTGAGTTCAATCCCCGGTACAAAAAAAAAAAACCATAAATAATAAAGCCCAGGATTAGGGTTTAGGGTAAGAAACCAGCAGCTGCCACTCAAGCCAAAGAAGGTGACAGCCTCAAAGTGTCAACTACAAATGTTTTCTCCTCTACACAACTCCTATAGACGCTAGTATGTATCCACGATTTACATTCACTCACTGCCAAGTCTAACTGCAAAAAGAAAACCACCAACCAAGAATCAGTAAGGAGAGATGGGGCACAGTGTAGCCACAGGATGAAACTTTATTACATCCAAGACAGTCTGCAAAAACACGTACCAACCTCACCCACTAACATGGAATCAAAGGTGAAACAGAACAGGATTCAAAGCACACAGGGCCGTGGAAAGACTGGTTTCCTAGTCAGACACGCGTGGGACCCCTGCACCGCCCGAGTTCACTCGGAAAGGCATCTCCCCGGCTGCAGAATGAACGATACAGTAGTTACTATTCTGCACATTCAATATAATCCCGATTTCACAGGAAAAGGACAGAGGAGGAAGAGAGACAAAAGACAATATAGATCTACGAGCGTAACGGACCTCGTCGGTTACTGAGTTGTGCAATTCCCTCCCGGTTTCGGGTGCAGCAGAGGTGCACACATTTCCTTGGTCCAACCACAGGTACGAGCGGGAAGTGACCAACAGTATCTGCTAAGTGAACAACTGAATTACAGTCCTGGAGGACCAAGACTCCGGCGCGGCCGCCCTTCCTGGGTGACCTTGGGCCCGCGCCCGCCCCGGTGCCGGACGCCGCCTCTGCGCTGAGCCCGGGGACTCGGGGACCGTGGGCCGGGGACTCGGAGGTCGGGCCTGCCCTCCGCGCACGCCGGTCGCACCTACTCACTTCAGCAGCACCGCGCCGCCCACCGCGGTTCCCACCACGGACACCGGCAGCAAGTAGCGGTTCATGCCGCCGGGGAGCGGGGTGCAGGCGGAGCGGCAGCAGAGAGCGACGAGTGGCACCGAGCAACAGTGCGACCGGAACCACACGCAGAAGCAAGTACCGTCCGCCGGGACTCCGGAAGCGGGCGGGGCCCGGGGTGGCTCGGGAGCCGCGGGGGCGGGGACTATCGGAGAGCCAATGAGAACGGGGCCCCACCGCTATGACCTCTGGGAACCTCAGGAGCGGAGGCGGGCTCGAGTCAAGGGGCGGGGCCTAGTGCCAGGTGGGATGACGTCACACCCAACTCTCTAAAACGCACCTCCCAGTTCTGGCGTGAGCTCGGAGATTGATTCCTGCTGCTCCATGTTCCAGACAAAACAGTACCTCTTCATAGATTTTATAGAGAAATTTGAGATTTCTATGAAACCTACACCTAATAGACTTGGGTTACAACGAAGAAGACTCGGGAATCTGGACCCCCGTGTCTGAGGGAGGAGGGCCTGAGAACTGGACTTCTGGGCATGAGGGCGTTGAATGATGTTCACTGACACAGGTGCACTGTATAGCCCAGTACTTCACTAAAAAGCAAAACAAAACAAAAAATATAAACACAGCCCTGGTGCAGCACCTGCCGCGCATGTGCCAAACCTGGGCAGCTCACTCAGACGCTGACGGGGTGGTATTTTCTTACTTATGTGATTGGCACCTCTGTCTCACTTATCGGATTACAGATATATGTCGCTTATCTGATGGGCAGGATTGCAAACAATGCTAAGAGGAGGTCTTGGCCAGGATTTGGGGACTCCCCGCTGGGAGGAGTGCCAGTGAGCACAGCACTCCTGAGAGCCGAGCCCTCTGTGACAACATGTCTGCGTGTGCGCCCCGGCCGTTCCCATCAGAACTCATGCCGGGGAGTGGTTATTTTTCCAAAAGAAACATAATAGGAAAATATTCTCCAGCGCCCATCTCTCTCTCACAAGATACTAGAACCGAGTAGAACCAAGCTCACTGTCAGTGAGTAGGCGAGGGCTCACTCACTGCCTTCGGCAGTTATTTAGAAGCTGCTGTGTCCCAGACACTGAGCTGAACCCTGGGAATTCAGCAACAGGACCCTGCCCTCCAGACCCCCAACACTAACAGCAAGGGCTGGATTGTAGCTCAGTGGCAAAGCCCTTGCCATGGGTGCGTGAGCCTGAGGTTTGATCCCCACCACTGAAAAAAAAGAGAGAGAGAGAAAAGAAAAAGGTCCCAGCAGTCGGGAAGCCGAGCCAGGAGCATTGCCACCAGTTTAAGGGCCGCCTGGACTACATAGCGAGATTCTGGAAAGAGAGAGAGAGAGAGAGAGAGAGAGAGAGAGAGAGAGAGAGAGAGAAAGAGAGAGAGA